TCTTCACCAGATCAGCTAACCCACTGTTAAAATGGACCTGCCTCATCGATGGTCCCTGTTCCTGGAAGCTTTGGCCGTGGACGCCTGGATGCTCTCCCCCACAGCCTCCTACACACACGCGGCGGGAGCGCTGCTGCGCTCCCAGTGCCACACTCTCCTGAGTGCGCCACGGGCTCGGCCCTTTTCTTGGTTTTTGAATAAAAACTGTTCAGTATGATAGCCAGTAGTCAAATGTGGCTATTTACATTTAAATGTAAATTAACTAAAATTAAAATTTAAAATTTGGTTCCTCAGCTTTATTACCCGCATTTGAAGTGCTCAATAGCCACACACAGATAGTGGCTGCTATATTAGACTGTATTTCTATCTACTGTATTAGACAGAAAAAATTTCCCTCATCACGGAAAGTTCTATTGGATAGCATTATAAAGATTCTAGGGTTTTCAGTCAAAACTCTTGCAAGTAGCACTAGCTAAAACCTATCCTGGAGAATAGATTCCATGATTACCACAGCTCTCAAGCAATAACACTCTATTTTTCTAGGTTTTGTGAACTTATTTGAAGTTATATATTTATAGCTCCTATTGCCTAGTAAATTATGATGAAGATAAAGAAAATTAACACAGTCCTGTGTTGTTTAATAATGGGGATACGTTCTGAGAAATGCCTTATTAGGTGATTTTTGTCATTGTGTAAATGTCATAGAAGCCCACTACACACCTGTAATCTTATGGGACCATTGTCATACATGTGTTCCATCACTGACTGAAACATTGTTATGCAGTGCATGACTGTATCTGGAGCAAATGCAAAATATTAGGCAATTCTGGAAACAAGAAGACAAATATTTATAAAGCAAATGGTTCTGAATGATTCGAAATTATGTATTTTAATTTGTTCACCAATATCACAATAGGGTCAAAGGGTCAGGATAGAAAAATACAATATTTTTTAAAGTATAATTTTTATTATGAAATATTTTAAACACAAAGTGTACACTGTTTTAAATGATAAGAGCAGTTGGATACATTTTTCACACTAGTAATAAAAAGGAATTTATAAATGGAACATTTAATCACCTGATTATTGCAGAAATATTTTTTTAATCTTGTCTATAAGTTTGCCTGGACCATTGTCTTAATGTGGTCTGGAAAACACAGACCCTGGGCAAGAACTTCACCTCCTTAGGCTTACATTGCTCATCTGCTGCCTGGAGGAGAGGGACTGACCACTCAGAGATCATTCCTAGTATTTAACATTTTGTGATTCATAGACTAGGTTTGAAGCTAGTGATTACTCCCTGAGACTTTGGCCATGTTTATCATTTGAAATAGACATGGAATTATAAAGTCGAATGGGAGAAATTGTAGAAAAATTAATTTATATATAACCTATATTGTATAATTTTTTAAAAATTTCCTTATTTGCTCAATTGAAAAGAAAAAAATTAGGAAAATGGGTTTTTTAGCCTGAGAAAGAGATGGTCTAAGGCTTGACTTATTTCCTGTTTCCTAAAAGATATCACAAAGGGTACTACCTGTCTTCACAGAACCATTTTCTTATTTTTCAGTGAGGAAGATGCTTATCTAATGTCTGTCTTGCCCCTACCCCCAGACTCTGCCTCCTTAAGGACAAGAATGTTTACCTTTTTTTAAATGTTGAAAAATACATTATTAACTTTAAAAAAACTTTTTAACATTTACTTGTGCATATTTGTGGGGTCCACTGTGTTGTTTCAATACATGCATGTACTGCACAATGACTTAGCTAGGGTAGACAGCATAGTTTTGTACCCATTAGTCCACCACTTCTCCTCCCTCCACCTCTCTCTTCTCCTGGCCTCTGGTAACCAAGAATGCGTGTTTTGCAAAATATTTTCCTATTGCCTGCTTAGGGCCAGAATATAGTGAGACATTCAGCCAATACTTGCTGAACAAATGAGGAAATGGACCTTTATTATGTAAAAGAATTACTTCTGACACAGACATAGGAAGTTGTACACATCAGTACATACTATTGTCAGTGTATCCCAGACCTCTTTTGTCAGTCTCCTAAGTGAGGGGTACCAGTCAAGTGGATCATGCTCAACCTGTTGCTTTGGAGTTTTGTTTCTGGGACAGTTTTGCATTATCTGGAGAATGTCTTGAATATGTAAGGTTCTTAACATTTTGTTTAATTATTAAAATAATGGAAGGCATTATAAGTATATGTAATCAAAAATAGTTCTTTAAACAGTAGTTTCTGTTTGACTTCAGAATATGTTATATGAGTTTCTCAATGAAATTGACTTTTCTTGTTTTTCATAACAAATGATTTGTCTTCTTTGGAGAGAAATTACTTAAATGCTTTTTTTGTTTGGATTCAAGAAGAGTCTTAGTATCTTTCTGGACACTATACACACACATACTTGATATTCGTGTCATATTTTATACACTATATTTTTGTGTATGTGATGTATATGACATCTTAGAAATACAATATATTGTATTTTAGAAATATGGTTTGTTTTATTTTGTCTCATCCTGTCTTTCTAGAGTGTAAGTTCTTGAGGTAGGAACTTAAGTCTTGTTCACTGCTCTCTTTTTGCATCTAGAAATATGCTAGCATGGAGTAGGAATTCAATAAATATTGCGAATGCTTTTTAATAGAGGCCTGTTGAGGCCTAATTTTATTTGTAACCTAATTAGGTTAGTGTTCTAATTCAGTTTTAATAGTCTTATTAATTTTTAGTAACTGGAAAACTAGATCTTATTTTTGCTTTTTTTTTCTTTTTTAGGAAGAATCCTCAGCATAAGATAGAATATAGACATAACACACTTCCAAGTAAGTAATTTTACTTCAGGAAACTCAAAACAAAACTTTTGAATGATTCTCCTATTAAACCTACATAGTTTCCAGTTTTTATGAATTTTTAAAAATCTCTGCTTCTGTAAATTTGTTGAATTGCTAATTTTAGTGATTTTTCTTAGGTTAAAAACAAAACTGTGAATCTTTTATATAGCAAATGTTTTTCCCAATCATTATCCAATAATATATATTCATCCTTCTATCTCTGAGGACTTTTTTGTTTGCAAGTACCTGAAAACAGGCCAAAATGATAATGAGAACTTACTAACTTCTGTAACTAAAAAGTTTAGAGATAGGGCTGGATTTAGATAAGATTTATTGCTTTGGCTCATGGATAATGTTGATAATGTCCCCAAGGACCCATTTCCTCCCATCATTTTGTCTTTAGAGGGGTCGTTATCATTCTAAGGCCGGCTACTTTCCCAAGGAGGGACTATATACATCCTTATTCAGCTGAGACAATAAGCACCCATGTTTACATCTAAGGAGAGAGAAAGAGAATGAACAACTCTGACTCTCATGATTCCTAGGAAAAATCTTGAAATTCACTCCTTTTACTGGCTCAGGTCGCATTCTTACCCTTGAACCAATCACAATAGCCAGTAATTAGTTTGTACCACCCCAAAACCAGGGGTAGAGTCACCTTCTTCAGAACCACAGGAATCCCCAATAGAAACTAAAGCCTTGGGGAAGGGAGAAGGAGGGGGGATAGACACCAGAGAAGCAACCTCCAAATGTCCATCTGTCCCATTTACATCAATCTGTTTTACCTCTGTCTTCCCTGCTTTCAAACTCTAATGTTTCCTCTTTAACAAATGATGCTGGCTTCTTTGTATCATTTCTATAATGCAGAGACCAATTCAGTAACCAATATTCCTGTCCACAGAATAAGAGAATAAAATGCATACTATCAAGGCTACGCTTAGGTTTGTGTGTGCATACATACAACCAACTTGTTTCAAGTCATGAAAATATTTAATTTCACTATAAGAGCATTCCATTTTTCATTTCTTATTGAAACATAATTCAGTGCTTTAGTACTCCAGACATAAAAATACTTCCTTTATCTGTGCTAACACAATATGGAGGTTATATGTCTTATGTTAAACTTTCTATACTGGAACTGTGTCTAATGATGTAGCTTTTATGGTGGTTAAAATAGCTTCTTTTCCAGCAATACTGTAATAACATTTTTTTAAAACTATATGTTATTGAAAAACTGTAGCATTGTCCCATGAAAGGGCATTTCATTTCACTATTTATCAAAAAACAATCAATATGCATCCTATAGTATAGTTAAAAATATCTGAATTTTCCTTGAAAGCTGTCTTGAAATTATCATTGAAGTTATTTTCTGAATGAAGAACATATTTTTTTTTTTTGTCTTTTGTCTTTTTCCGTGTCCGGCAACGGATCGCAACCCTCAGTGTTGCCCCCGTACCGGACTGGGGACCGGCAACGGGATCGCAACCCTCGGTGCTGCTCCCGCGCCTCGCTCAGCCAGTGAGCGGGAACCGGTCTGTATGTGGGATCCGAACCCTCGGGCGGGAGCGCCGCCGCGCTTCCCAAGCAGCGCACTATCCAGTGCACCACCGGGCCGGCCTGAAGAACATATTTTTAAGGCAATTTATTTTAAGCAAAACTTTTTATTTTATTGGAAGGTTAGTTTTTAAGTAATGTGTAGATATTTGAAAGCAACAATTTAGCCTTATGTTTCTAATGTACTTTCAAGAATTATGTGGTGATGTAGTCAGAACATCTCTTCACCCTATAAAATCTGTAAATTGAAGGTCTGGAGCATTTCAAATATTAAATGTTGAGGTCTCATTATATTTCCTAATTTAGAGATATCTAACACAGAATTCTAACATACTTGTTTTTCTCATATCCCACATCTTTAAAGTTTAACATTACCCAAGATCTTAATCTCATATATATACTCATTTACTCATACACTTTTATTCATTTAGTGTATGTCTCCCATGTGAGCACAGTTACAGAGGAATGAGAACCAGCTCTGGCTCTACCTGCTTATGGCAAAATGCTCTAAAATCTTGGAGGAAAGGGAAGAAGCACTTTCTGCTGGGAATGATCAGGATAGACTTGATGTGGAAATTTTAAGTCAAATTGGTCTTAAAGTGGTAGGATTTCGGTCAGCTTTGTTTGTTTCTTAGCTTTGTGGTGGGTGATTATAGGACATCCCAGACAAAATAAATAATAGGTCAATCAAGGACATTAAGGTAGAAATGTTGTGGTTGGAGTTAGCTAGTGGATCAGTTTAACTGACAAAGAAAGTCTTTATAATTACTGTGGATGATACTAAAAAGAGTGTTTTAAGACCAGATTATGGAAGTTCTCAGTGGCCGGACCAAAGATATGGGCACCTTTGGCAAACAATGATGAGCCAGTATTTTACCAAAATCAAGCTGGTGATGATGAAATGTCTGAATTAAAGCAGAGGAGGCCTTCTGGAGATTAGTTAGGTAGTGGAGTAAAAGGCCAGAACTAGGGTGGCCACCATGAGAGTGGAAAGGTAGGACTGAATATAAGAGGGATGTTGAAAGAAGAATCAAGAGGATTTACCAACTGATCGACTGCGATATGGAAGCTGAGATGACATAAGGAAGTAGGGATGACTCAGGATCATAGGACAGATATATCAGGAGACTGAAGGTGCTATTTACACATAGTAGAGATTAGGAGGAAGGACTAGGTCGTTTTTTCGTTTTTGTTTTAATTTAAACATGTTGAATTTGAGAGGGGTATCATAACTATATAATGGGACAATAAAATTTCATATAGTGCCAACGTTAAAATAACTACATTAAACTCTTAAACTATTTAATTTCTGATTTGTAACGCCCCTAAAACACTTCCATCTATATGGTTCTTCTGTGCATGTAACAATTTATGTAGTGCGTTTTATTTTTTGTGGGTTTGCTGTCATCTGTTAAGCTTCTTACATGTCTAATTGGTTTAAAATTTTACTCACTTTCCACACTTTTTTAGAGTGCTGCAGTTTTGGCACAAGATACTGAATGCTAAGAGTAATTAATACCAAGAAAATGTTGTTTATACTTTCTTAGCTACCTTACCTGTTGCTGACAGCATCTAAAAGGAACTATCATCAGTGTTTTATCATCTCATTATTGGAGTCATTCTTTCTGGCCTCTGTTAATACGTGTTATGCATTATTCTAGGCAGTACCATTCATGGCTGAAAATTTAGAATGTTCTACTGATAGCTACTTTAATATGTATTTCACCAATTTTATATACATGTACTTATATATGATTTTTCCCCTGAAGTTGAAACTGAAAGATGTAGAAAGAAAACTTTTAAGGAGGGTTAGTAGGACTTAAATGAGATTCTATAATCTGCTGATTAGTGTGGGGAAAGCTGAGAAAGTATGGAATATGAAAAAGCCTAGTGCAATGGTATTTTAAAAAGAAATAAATTTCATGAATAATAGAGTACATCAGAAATCTATAAACTGCTTTTCCAAAACTAAATGAATGCCTGCAAGTAGATTGGTGCATTTAAAAAAATTAGCCTTTACTAGTAAAATGAAGCATTATTAAAAAAGGTTTTTTTCATAGTATGTAGTAAATTTTTATCTTTAGGGATATTGGGCCAAAATTTTTTTTACTTAATGAAAATTAACATCCTAATTAGTCCTAAGATTTACAGGAAAATAAGAAAAATAAAGCCTGTAATAATCGGTGTTAAACTGTTAATCTGCAGTGAAACATCTGTCATCTTAGATTCTAATATCATGAAACTATTGGGATAAATCAACAATTTGAAAAGATCTTTTCTTCATGCAAAAATCAGCATTTCTTCCAACATACTGTTTTGTAGTGAATTGATAGTGGAAACTTAAATTGTAAAGGAAATATTAGATTAAAAACTTTGGAATTGTCATTCTTATATTACGAATTCTTCCACTTAAAAAGAAAAATCAGAAAGTACCACATCGTAATACCTTATTGCTAATAAATAACATGTTGTTTAAATATGTCTAGGAGTTTACTTTTTCTAAAAGTTGTTTTTTATCATCATGGTAGTTCAGTATTACCCATTAGTTCTTATAAATAAGTGACAGCTTATTTCTCTAGTTATTTAAAAATATTTTTTATTATTTTTATAGTTATTATTTCTTCAAATAGTCAAACTGTCAGTCTCTTCACATTCAATACTACTTTACTGATTTGTAGAGAAAAGCTTGAATATTCCTACTCTGGCCTTAAAATTAGAATTTTGGAGTTAAAAAGGATCTTCGAGATGATTTAATCACTTTGATTCATATATAAAAAATAAATTGTATTAGGTTAAGTGACTTTCTCATTGTCATGGGTTTGTTTATGACACAAATATTTGGACTTCTACCCGTTGGTCTTGTCTTCTTTCTCTTAAACCATGCTGTCTTTAAGAGACTTTTTGCTGGATGAGAAGATGGACAGTCGAATAAGAACAGCAGTAACTAGCAGCAAGAAACCTAAAACATTCTAGGTGAAGATAAACAAAAAAAACTTATGTCTTCCAAGCTCACCGTGATTTGAAAGAAAAAAGCTCACTTCTAATTTCTTAGGTACACTCAACAATTATATTTCAAATAAACTAGTTGTAGTACAAAAAATTCAATAGGCTTTTAATTTTTCAAAAATTAAGTTATGCTGTTTAATTCTATGGACATTCTTTGGAAATCACAACTATAAGAAATAAAACTACAAAAAGTTATATTTTGCTATTAATTTTAAAATTAAACAACTACTGCTATGTCTCCTTGTTATTATTTTTGTGCTTCAATAAACTTCTCATTAACAGTTGCATTCTCTGTACAATACTGGAGTCAAGGTTTGGAATCTTCTATGATGTGACTCTTAATGAGTGAGTTGCCCAGTTCTCTAACTAAAAAATTTCCTTGTATGATCAGCTTTCTTTGAAATTTTTTTTTTTTTTCCTTTCTGTCTTTTTTCATGACCGGCAACGGATCGCAACCCTCAGTGTCGCACCCGTACCGGCCTGGGACCGGCAATGGGATCGCAACCCTCGGTGTTGCTCCCGCGCCTCACTCAGCCAGTGAGCGGGAACCGGTCTGTATGTGGGATCCGAACCCTCAGCGGGAGCGCCGCCACACTTTCCAAGCGGCGCACTGTAGCAGTGCGCCACCGGGCCGGCCCAAATTTTTATATAGCAAACAGTGCTATAGCGAGTTGTATGGGAGCATTAGCAGTTTCATCGTTTTAAATGGAGATACCCAGATACCACGCTATATGCTTCAGCTTGCCCAGTTAGAGAATATATGCATAGGTTCCCCCCCCCCTTGCTTTCAGTGCTCTTCATATCCCTTTTGAATGAAAACATATTAATTTTTATGGTAAAGACAGACATTTTATTCCTAGGTTAGACACTAGTCATGCTTATCTCAGAGCCCTGCTTCCTGAGATTGTTTTCATGATTTGGAAAATCACATAACAAGTTAGATCAACAAGTTCCCTGATTCAGAGCATTTTCCAAGTAAGAAAAGTTTTATTTCCTCCATGGCCCAGTTACACTGAAAGGCAGAAACTGACATTTCTCTAAAAATTTCAGCGTCTACTAGCTATTAAAAAAATAAAAGAAACTCCCATCGAGGTGGCATTTGTGTTGAATAATATTTAAAGTTGTTAATTGAATTTTCTACAAGAGAATCCATTAATTGGTTCCACAGTAATAATCACATGTCAGCATTTAAAACCCTGTTAAGAAATGTCTATGTGACACCACTAACAAAAGACATAGAGCTGAGTTCTAGAGCTCACTTTGCACCCATGTCATGACTTTGGCTCTTCAAGTGCTTTCACGTACAGCACAGTTAAAGTACCTGTTAGTGTGAAATAAAGTAGACAAAATTTGACTACCGGCTATACCAAGTTCTATTATGTATGATTTTGTTAGATTCTGGACTACCTATTAAAAGAACATAAATGTGTAAATGTAAACACCAAATGTAAATGACGATAGATATAAATTTTTGAGGAAACAAATGAGATTCTCCTGATTAACATGGCTTTACTACCTTAGTAAGCCTGCTCAATAAGTTGCTAAAGATTTCCAGGGTTCATTGGGACTTAAAGTCCCTTCATTTAGCAAGATTTAAGTAAAAGTTTGTTATGTCACTCATTATACTGACAGGCTAGTAATGAAAAGTGTAAGCTAAAATAAGAAGGGTTTCTGTAAAACTAAAGATGCTCAATAGTTTATTTGTAAATGGTTCACTTATTTATCCTTTGATATATTCAACATATATATTTATAAAGTGCCTTCTACATGTTAAGCAGTGTTGCAGGAGCTGAAGATACAATAGAAACAAAGCCCTGCACTTGTAGAGTTTTACAAAGGTGGACAGTGCACATGTAAACAATTATATGATGTCATTTGGTGATAACTGCTGAAAAGAAAAACATAGCTGTGTGAGAGGACAGAATAGCAAGTTTCTGTATTACAGGGGAGTCATGCCATATTAATCTCAGAAGTTTCATGGTAGGAAAAGTTAGAATAATAAATAACAAATGGTCGTTTTAGTGCCCTTTCTAGAAACTTGTAGTGGTAAGCTTTGTATTAATAAAATTAATTCCTCTTGATGCAGAAGGACATTTTACAGTTAGATGTCTCTAATCCCAAGTTGAGTGGCAGTTGATGTGTTGTGTACCAATCTTCTGTTTTTCAGTGAGAAATGTTTTAGATGAAGATAATGATAATGTTGGGCAACCCAATGAGTATGACCTGAGTGACAGCTTTCTAGATGATGAGGAAGAAGAATATGAACCAACAGATGAAGATTCTGACTGGGAACCAGGAAAGGAAGACCAAGAGAAGGAAGATGTGGAAGAGCTTTTAAAAGAAGCAAAAAAGTTTATGAAAAGAAAAAAGTAACTCTTTTCTACAATAATGTATGGCTCACATATACTTTTTCTTTATGGGAAAAAAATTCAGGAACTAAGGAGGTCCTTAAGCAATCATTGTTTTCCTTCTTTTGAGAATTATGATTTTTACTATTGACTCTTTGCAAATGAGATATTGAAATGTCAGCCTTCAGTGTAGTAGATGAAATTTAATTTGTTATCTTGCCTTTTCTTTCCTATTGAAAGCATCTGCAAATAGGAAGCAGAGAAGTTGAAGAGTAATACTTGATATTTTTCATGTACTTTGTGAATTGGTAATAAAAAGATAAAACCTATAGGTTGCACAAAACTGTGGTCTTTTGTTGTTTTTCCAAAGATTCTGTCTTTATAGAGTAATATGCAAGTATAATTAGGCGGATAACATGATGGGTGGGAAAGCATGCCTCTTTCATTGCTATTGAAGTAATTCTTCAAGCAGAACCAGGCTTTAAAAAATGACAGCCACCAGTAATGGCTATTATTTTTCCAGTACCCTAGATGTGAGCTTTGCAATTTTACTTACTACTGTTATCCTTTAAAACCTGGGGAAATTAGTACCAAATGGATATGGAAAATGGATTCAACTAGGCTGTAAAAGAGAAATATTCACCATGCAGGGAATGTTACTTTGTTTCTCACATCTGTAATTTACTATATTTCTGAGTTTAAAGGTAGAAAAACTCAAAGAATTTGACAGTTTTTTCAAACTAAAGTCCTGCCTCATTAATTTAACTCTTAACACACTATCTTTGCATTAAGAATATAGAAATGATCCCTGAACTGACCAGCTGCCCCCACCCCCCCTCAAAGGAACATCACAGACAAAAGAATAGAAAAATGGTTTTTAACCAGAATTTTCTCAAATGACATTATTTCTTTTGACCTTAGGTAAAAGTAACAAGTTTTTGGCCAGTGTTCAAGATTCTGTCCTCTTGCATCAAGAAGAAACCCCTATTCTCTATTTTTATAAGTATACATATTTCTGTTTTTAAACAACTTTAGGCCTTGTAATACTCTTCACTTTAGGTGACTTAGAATTTTTAAAATATAGTTTAGAATCTTTAAGAACAGTTGGGTATGTTTACAGACAGCAGGAGATATGTTATTGAAACCATACATCACTAAACCAAAAGTATCCTTGTTAAGCACTAGTATTTTCTATTTTAAGGTAATCTAAAAGTTTATATATTAAAAGAGCATGACATTTATAATATTGTTTTCTTAGTGTTTTAAAATATTTCTCTAAGTAATTGCACAATATTAAAATTTACTTAAACAGAAGCAAGGACAAGATAAATATTTCTCTAGAACATTACCTAGTATTCTCATTTTGTATCTAGTGTTATTTGGGAACTCATTTTCGCCTTCTAATGTCCTTTTGATCTTGGGGGCTTGACAAACCTGTGAAAAAAAATCTTTGAACTTATTCTCATCCCCACAATGACTTAGTCCTTAAAGCACTCTTTAATCCACTCCTAGGTATAAACCCAAAGGAATTGAAAACAGGTCCACATAAAAACTGTACACAGTGTCAATAGAAGCATTATTCTTAAAACCAAAAAGTGGAAACATCCAAATGTCCATCAGCTGGTGAACAGATAAACAAAATGTTGTATATCTGTGCAAAGGAATACTATTTGGCTATAAAAAGGGATGAAGTACTGATACATGCTGTAACATAGATGAAACTTGAAAACATTATGCTAAGTAAAAGAAACCAGACACAAAAGGCCATATATCTTATGAACTCATTTATGTGAAATGTCTCAAATAGGAAAATCCGTAGAGACAGAAAGTAGATTAGTGGTTGGCAGGGACTTGGGGAAAGGAGATGGGGTGTGACTGCTAATGGCTAGAGGGTTTCTTCTGGAGTGATAAAAAGTTCTAAAATTAAGTAATGATGATGGTTGCACAGCTGTGTAAATATACTAAAAACCAATTGTACACTTTCAAAGGGTGAGTATTATGGTATGTGAATTGTGTATCTCAAAGCTGTTATTTAAGAAATGCAAAGGATAACACCAGTCTTTTAGAAAGAAAAAAGCATTTAATATCAAAAAATATTCTCAATAGAAGAGTAATGTGATAGATCATGGCAATTGCTTTTTGAGGATAGTTTGGTGTGACTCTAATAATCATCGTGAAGTATAACTAATGTATAAGTATACAGCTTAACCGACTATAGTGTAATGAGAAATTACCACTTGTAATTGGACTGTGTTTAAATCGATTTCCAAAATAGGGGGAAAACTGATGACTTTAGGATGTCAGTGGTCTCAAGAGCAATATTAACAAAAACTTAATTCTTTAATTAATTGCTGTCTTAAACAGTTGATAAGAGCCAATTCTCCCCATCATAGTGTTCATAGAACTTAAACTATACCCAGCTTTCTTTGTCATAGTAAAAATTATCATACATACATTTCTCACCTAAGTGCTTAATTCTAATATCAAATATTTTTGGTTGTCCTCTTGAGAAGAGGTGGGTTTTCTGGGATCCTGGAAGACATAATTTTTTCAGTATACGTGGGCACTGACTCTGCTTTTTCCTCCAGGCTAAGGATGGTCTTGTTGGTACTGAAATTGTTTCTAGAACCAGAAGATCCTAGTGATTGTAAACATTCATTGGAATGAAAGCAAATGGATTGTGAGCATCATTCTCCCAGAATGGTGATGTGAGGGTGAGAATAAATGGACTTTCATGCAACTAATCTGTGCTGAGTTCAGTGTCACCTGTGGAGGGGGAAACCACTTGCCAACATGCTATATCCAGCCCTACTTTGTGAAACTACGTCATTCCCATTAAGTTCTCTTTGTTAGCTAGGAGTCTGTAATAGGGTAATGGGGGTGCATGTATGTGTGTGTGGTCTCTTTTTGCTAATCTGCAAACAACCTACAACACTGCACCTCTACAATATATATTGAAAGACAAGTGATAAAGAATAATTATTGCTGAGATTACTGGCCATTCTAATAAAATGTAAATAAACTTTATTGTCATAAACAATCACACTTGAGCTCTGTCATTCTCAAGACCCTGTCTTAGGTGCTGGCAATTCAAAGAAGAATAACACATCCATGTGTCTGTTTTTATGCCAGTACCATGCTCTTTTAGTTACTATAGCTTTGTAGTACAGTTTAAAAGTCAGGTAGTGTTATGCCTCTATTTTTTTTTTTTTTTTTTTTTTTCAGGATTGCTTTAGCTATTTGTGGTCTTTTGTTATTCCATATGAATGTTAGGATTGTTTTTTCCATTTCTGAGAAAAATGTCATTGGAATTTTGATGGAGATTGTGTTGAATCTGTCGATCACTTTGTATAGTATGGACATTTTCACAGTATTAATTCTTCCTATCCAAGAGCATGGGGTATCTTTCCATCTTGTGTCCTTTTTAATTTCTCTCAACAGTGGTTTGTAGTTCTCTTTGTAAAGATTTTTCATATCCTTGGTTAGCTTTATTCCTAGGTATTTTTTTTTTTTTTGTGACTATTGTAAATGGGCTAGCATTCTTGATTTCTTTTTCTGCTAGTTCATTGTATAGAAATGCTACTGATTTTTGCGTGTTGATTTTGTATCCTGCAACTTTGCTAAAATCGTTTATCAACTCTAAGAGTTTTTTTGTAGAGTCTTTAGGCTGTTCTGTATATAGGATCATATCATCTGCAAACAGGGACACAGTTTGGCTTAAGAGAATCCAGAAATCAACCTATGCACCTGCAGCCATCTGATCTTTGACAAAGGCACCAAGACTAACACTGGGGAAGAGACTGCCTCTTCAGTAAATGGTGCTCGGAAAACTGGACATTCATATGTAAGAGAATGAAACTGGACCTGTACCTCTCACCATATACCAAAATCAACTCAAAATGGATTAAAGTAAAAAAATAAAAAATATTTTGGATGAGTATAGATACAAAAATCCTCAATAAAATAGTAGCTAATAGAATATAGCAACACATACATAAAATTACACACCATGATCAAGTGGGATTCATCCCAGGGATGCAAGGTTGGCTCAACATACACAAATCAAATGTGATACATCTCACCAATAAAATCAAAGACCAGAAGCAATATGATCATCTCTATAGATGCTTAAAAAGCATTTGACAAAATTCAACATTCGTTCATGACAAAGACTCTCTATAAGTTGGGTATAGATATAAAATATCTCAACACAAAGTCATGTATGATAAACCCACTGCCGATATCATCCTGAATAGGGAAAAGTTGAAAGCTTTTCCCTTAAGAACAGGAACAAGACAAAGATGCCCACTCTCACCACTTCTATTCAACATAGCGTAGGAAGTACTAGCCAGAGCAATCAGAGAAGAGAAGGAAATAAAGGGCATCCAGACTGGAAGAGATGAAGTCAAACTGTCCCTGTTTGTAGATGATATGATCCTATATATTGAAGAGCCTAAGGACTCTACAAAAAAACTTAGAGTCGATAAATGATTTCAGCAAAGTTGCAGGATACAAAATCAACACCCCAAAACTAGTAGCATTTCTATACTCTAACAATGAACTAGCAGACAGAAAAAGAAATCAAGAAAGCTAGCCCATTTGTAATAGTCACAAAAAAATAAAATACCTAGGAATAAAGTTAACCAAGGACATGAAAAATCTCTACAATGAGAACTACAAATCACTGTTGAAAGAAATTAAAGAGGACACAAGAAAATGGAAAGCTATCCTATGCTCTTGGATTGGAAGAATTAACATTGTGAAAATGTCCATATTACCCAAAGTCATCAACAGATTCAATGCAATCCCCATCAAAATTCCAATGACATTTTTCTCAGAAATAGAAAAAGCAACCCTAACATTCATATGGAATAACAAAAGACCACAAATAGCCAAAGCAAACCTGAGCAAAAAAATAAAGCTGGAAGCATAACACTACCTGACTTTAAACTATACTATAAAGCTGTAGTAACCAAAACAGCATGGTACTGGCATAAAAGCAGACACATGTACCAACAGAACAGAACAGAGAATCCAGAAATCAATCCAATACACCTACAGCAATATGATCTTCAACAAAGGTATCAAGTCTACACACCGGGGAAGAGAGTGCCTCTTCAGCAAATGGTGCTGGGAAAATTGGACATTCATATATAGGAGAATGAAACTAGATGCATACCTCTCACCATATACCAAAATCAACTCAAAATTGATTAAAGAATTAAAGATACATCCTGAAACAATAAAACTCCTTAAAGAAAACACAGGGGAAACACTTTGTGAAGTAGGACTGGGCACAGACCTTATGAATATGACCCCCAAAGCACAGGCAACCAAGGGAAA